CGAGACGTGCGTTTTTCATAAACTTTTCTTACTTTTAGCAATCAAAAGTAATAACAAGGTTTCGCTTTGACTCTCGAACCTATTCGCTATTTAGCCGATTGGGCAATGCTTTACCATCGCGGGATTGTAATGCGATAGATGCCCCACGCAAAATAAAGATTCGGTTGTTGGCTGAAACAGGGACGCGGTCTACTATTGTAAGAATGTAACTGGAGACGTAATTGACGTGCTAGGACTACACCAAATAATACAAATCGCCTTATCCTGACACTGTCGCATTAGCAGTAGCAGCCGTGGAGGCGGGTCAGTATTTGGCGGAGTGTTTCGAATGTATGTGAATTGAATGGGGGGTCACTACTTTTACGGGTTTGTCCACTCTATTTACGTTTGCTGAAGTTCCTCTTATCACAGCAACCAGTCATATGTATTAAAGAGGAAAAAATAGTGATCTGACTTAGTTTTTTCGTGCTGTGCCTGCGTGGGCTTATATTGGTCGTGGAAGATGTTGTTTTCGTTGGTGGTATTCGCGAGTGCTTCTTGCACTGTTGGAAGCCGATCAGTGACTTTGTCTTCAACTTTTGGGGACAGGCATAAAGAAAGGCAGGAGATGCGCAAATGCCAGGACCGAACAGATTACCCACCTAGAACCGAACACAGCTAGCCGAAACGAATGAGATCTAATTAAAGCCCCTAATGACCAAAGGACAGTCTCGGCCTACCCATGCACACGCGCAACAACACAAACACACACATAGGCCCATAGGTACTCACATTCGTTTATTACGGATAGATTCTTAAATCTATCAGTTATGTGCTTCATTCTGCCGTCTTATTATAATACATTAGTTAGAGTTCCCCTTATGCACTTAACAAACAAATATAAAACAATAAAGCTGAGTAAAAATTTGTTTAAAGTATAGGCTGCGCAACCAGTTATGTTAAATGTACCTATAGCTTATATTGATATTTATGGCTTTAGATGAGATCAGCATCATTACGCACGATGAATCGAACGATAAACCGTAGCCGATGTACGTATACACGAACCCTATATCTACGGCATGCGTAAATGTTCGTTATATTTATTGTAAAAAGATAATCTCGTTTTCTAAATTTGTTTTGTTAAGCGTATTTGTTTTAGTTGCAACTGATGTAATTTTAGAGTAGTGGAAAAGTATACAAGGTTTAATCCTGACCGAAGACGACATCACAAGCCCAATCAGGCTCAGGTTCAGCCCGAACGTTCACACCTACCCGAGGTGGCGTTTGTGCAAAGGAAAGGGGTGACAATGGCACACTGAACAGTTCTCTATGAGGCTTTTCCATGTCTATATTGTTTCGAACAAAGTAGTTATCAGAAGTGTACTTTCGTGCCATAGATATACCTGGAGGTGAACTTCTATTCGATTCTTAATCATCGAGAACCTGATATTTCCCTAGTAAAACGAGTAGGATCTAAGGTTCGTTGTCTAGAACGGTCATATACTACTCACTGGATCCCTGGTCCCGCCTGGTCGTGACTCGATACTATTTACAATCCAACTGCAACTAGGTATAAAACGTAAAAAAACACGGACTGTATTGCGGACATTTGAATAGTTAAAAAAAAATCTCAAACAGTAAAAAATTTCACGGGAGTGAAATAGGCTGATAAAAAAAACATTGGTTATAAATAGGAATTAAGAACTATGGTACCGTTCATGCTCTTCGCTCGTTGATCTTAGTCAGCAATTTTGAATTCCTCTTCCAGCGCACTTTCGAAAGTAACACTGAAAGTGTCCTTACCTCAACATCTCAAATGCGTTTAATACATATTTTGACACGAGCCGCTATCGTATTTAAAATGGCCAATAAGTAATATCTTCATAAGGAATTAACTCTTAAAATTGTCTCAAGACTTCGTTGAACTCTCACTAGATGTCGTGCGTGACGTGTAATCTAAGATAACTACTAGTGGCGCCGCTTTTATTAGACTAACACAATAGGTGGTTCTGCATGAATAGGAACAGAAAGTTTCTAAGCCTTACATGAATACCTCAATGTTTATAAAATTTGCTTCAATGAAAATTGTCATGACTTCTCATAGTATCGGTGGCAAAAACTACGCGAAAGCACGTAGGAAATTTTACATACAGGTTTCCGTAGAGTTGAAACAAGAACAGTTTTGCTCGATCTGGAAGATCAAAGAGTTCTCGGCATAATTTTACAATCTCTATAAATTCTAGAAGTATTATTGAATTGCGAAATATTTTAAGAGCATCGAAGTACCTCAATTACTGACCGTTAGAACTATGATATGCAAGACCAGTAGGTGACGCGATAAACGTTGCTCTAAGCATTTTCTAAATGGAACAGTTATTGTAAATGTCGATGGCAGAAGCTAGATAATGAACGAAAGCTTATTGAATAACGGGCATAACCGGCCAATTTTCGACCCATATAGAGAAAACCGTTGCACCGCACTACAGCTAAACAAGTAGTCCTAGAACTAATTTCTATTTAAGAAGTAAGAAATGTTCCGTAATTGGCAGTACGGCCCACTCTTCTGTCTGCCGTTTAAAGGTTAGGCAGAAAAGTTATGTCGGACTTGAATTTCTGTACAAATGTCATAATGTAAAATGATAACACTTGTTATAATGCTGGCTGTGCTAAGTGGGCACCATACGTTCTGTCAAACGGTCCCACTTAACGATGCTGTTCCGTTGCACAAGTAACAACAGTCTTTTGCACCAATGTCAATTTATATATGGGCAGACTAAACGAATGAATGGATTGATACAGTGAGAATGAGTGCATTCGATTTTTAAACTTGGTTAAAGCGAAGTCATGTATGTATATATATATATATATATATGTATATATATATGTATGTGTAT